TCATCACCCATTTCCATCATCAATTCACCACCATTCATCAGGAATCTCCTCTCAACTCGCTCGGATAGCTTTCTTTGCGACATCGACATGCGCCCTTAGATCATACACACACAACGCTTTGAACGAGTTTCCCTTCCGCCTCCCCTCCCCCCAATACTCTGTCACCACCTCAGCCTAATAAATTCGCCAACCATGGCGGACCGGTCCTCCGCCTCCGGCTCTCCCACACCAGAAATCGAGCCTCCAAGCTCACCTGTGCAACCCGAAGCCAAGTCCTTTGCGTCTCGCACCGTTACCGAAGATGGCGACACTCAGATGGCCGATGCTACCCCCGAGCCTGTGGAAAAAAGCACCCGCGCAAAGGGCAAAGGGTCACAAGGAAAGGATGCCAACAATCAACAACAGATTGGAAAGATCCGCCACCTGAAGAAGGAGGATGGCGAGCCCCTTTGGCGAGAGGATATTCAATACGACTTTCTTAAAGCCGTCTTCGACAATGAGCAGGCCGTTTTCACCAACTCCTACGACGACAAGCTACCCAAACAGAATTTCGCCGACCTCTACATCGATACCATGTCTCGCAGCACCAAGACCAGCAAGGTTCTGAGAGATAAACTATTGAGTGACAGGGAAGCTGCCAAGGGCATGGCCATGGTTTGCCTCTTGGTCAACGTGGGTCGCATGAACACCACACTTAACTGTGAGTAAATGACCTTCACCTTCGCACCACGGCATTTTCTCCCCCATGCTAACCACCTCTTTTAGTTTTTCCCGAAATGCGAGCTCAGCTCCGAACCTACCACGCCATTCCTTCCCTCCAAGCCCACCAGGATAGTCATGCCTACAAGCAACTTCAGGATGCTCCTCGACTCAAGTCAATCTTGAAGGGCGGCGCAGAGGATCGGAACGAGCCCAATTCACTAGATAAAATCAAGGAGGAAGGCATTCCGAGGACAAACCCCGTCAACCTCATTTTTGTTATGTGCAACACTGCCCAGAAGATTGCAGAGCTACATTTTCCTCGCCAGGGCGAATTCCATGACCTCATTATGAAGACCCAATACACCAGCAAATCGCGCGCAACAGCCTTCCTTTGGTTGATGTGGTTCTACCTCGAATCCGATTTTACCGAGGAAGGCTGCGAAGAAAACCCGTTCGGACCGGGGGTGGACTATGGCCTAGACGTGGCAAATCAAGGCGTGCCTACGCTGAAGGAGATGACGGCGGAAGAACAGGCCAAGGAGAACGTAGACACGCCCGAGGAAATTGAGTTTGGCAAGACCAAGCAAAAAACTCGAGCAAAGATCCTCGAAATGGATCAGGCTTATCTCAACGAGCGAGAGAATAAGCGCGGCAAGATTCGGCCACCGTTCGAAGATGGACCAGCTATTTTGCCTCGAATCAGGCCCTCAAAGCACGAGTCCGACATGGACAGTACCCGATCCACTCCCCCACCAAGAGCCCTTGGCCGAGGTTTGGCTTCAGCCAGGCGCGGTGCACCTCTCAAGTATCAAATATTTGAGGGTTCCTCGCCAGCTCATGGCGGCGGCGAAGGTGTGATTGCTAGGAAGCCTCGCCCACCTACAGCACATCAGTTGGCTGTTGAGCGAAACCGAGCACAGAGGGTAGAGTACATCCTCGACCGTGGCCTCCGCAAGCAACATCACAAGAGTCGAAAGGGACGACGCCAGGATGGCGCTATTTACAGAGCATACCGGCGAATAGAGGCACAGGAGAGTCCTTTTGACGACAGCGATGACGAGGACGCGATCCCGCACAATCTTGCCTTTGCTAGCGATAAAGCTTCAGGACTATTCCGAGAGACGGGCATTGGTGGGCTGTGCCTGCTTGCCAATGAAGACGACGACTTTGGTGAAGAAGTGAGCTCCTATGCCGCTGCTCTAAGACGATCAGCTCGTCGACTTTCTCGGTGGGGTTCAAACAATGTTACACTTGGCGTTGTTGCCCCGGTTAAGAGGCCTCGGCAGAAGAAGGAGATTAAGGAGGAGGAAGATGCCGAGCAAGAAGGAGACGTATCGAAGCTGGGTGGAGACGTCAATGGAGACATGACTGTTGGAGACATGACGATGGGTGATGAGACTTTGGGTGATATCACGGTTGGTGACATGACTCTTGGAGATGTCACAATGGGAGATATGGATGACGGCGATATTGAGGATCAAACCATTCTCCCGGAGGAGATGGACGATCCAGACAATGCACCAGGTGTGGATGGAGACACAGTTCTGGGTGATTCCGATCTTGATTAGAGCGGACAGCACAAAAAATCTGAACTGGGGGGGGAAAGGGGTGCGAAAAAAAAAGGTCTGTGAATGTAGGGAAGATGAGCGAAGAGCGGTCTTGAAAACGACATGAAGCGCTTATTGCATGGTTTCCGCGGGCTTATTTAAAGGGGGGTTGGCTTTTCTTTCTGCTTGCTCATGTTCTCTTCCTCTATCTTTTCTTCTTCTTGTTTTTCTTTTGTTTTGCTCTTCCTCTTTATCTGTTTGCTTGACTGCTTGCTTGCTCTTCTTGCAGCTTGTAATGTAACTTACGTACGTACAGTACGAAGGCGTTGGAGATATGGTGGTTACTATCTATGTACGAGAATCAGGGCACTCTTGGAATTCACGGGGGCACTTGGCGTTTGCTGAGCCACGTCCTGAGGGAATGAATTGGTGGGAGACAATACACTATAATAAATATAGGAAGATACTAGACTTTTTGAAACTTGTCAGGACTCGACTGTGAGAAGAGAAGAGGGGAAAAAAAGCCCAGTACAGATACATTTCATCAATGGTTAGCTACTATCTACCTACCTTGCCTTGAGTTGGTAAATGAATGATTCCCATTTGCTGGATTACTTCTTGTCTGCCTGCATGTCGGAAGTAGCTGCATTAGAAGGGCGGATGTACTGGATGTACGTCAAGTAGTTCAACCAGGTTTGTTATGGAGGGTTGAAGATGGATGAAACCCGAACACGAAAACGGTTAAGGACGAGGTACACACATCTGGACGCCATTAGAGTACGGGTCCCTTTTACACAGTAGTTCCGGAGTACAGACAAAAGTAACCAACCGGCTAATTCCCCGTCCAAATCTCAACGCTTCACTTTTTTCAGAAGGGGACTCCATAGAAAAAAACACAAAAAGAAAATAAAACATATGAGAGAGTAACCAGGAAGCGTTACTCCAGGTACCAAAAGTTGAGCACAAGCTAACAAGGTACGTAGAACGCGGAGTTTACGGGTCCCGAAGCGGTGAGGTCCGGCAGATGAGATGAGATGGTCTCGCTTCTAATTTTTTGTCCATTGTAAGCTACTGCGGTAGGGGAGGAGGGGGGACCCCCCTGGTATTCTCCACTGCGAATATCCTCAAACTAAATTAATTATCGTGCCCATCTCCCTCCCTTCCATGATCCATTGGATCTGTATGGTTTGCATCTTCACTTTCTTCCATATCACCTTCAGCCCAGGCCAATTGACTGAAGGCTTTTGCTCCTCATCCTTTTCTCTCTCTCAATTGCAATCTTTCGTCTTATATTAGTTGTTGAAAGAAACGAAGAAAAAAGGGAACCAAAATGCCCAAGTCCGATAACGCGCCCAGCGGCATCAGCCGTCTCCTGGGCATTCTCGCCCTGCTGACCGGTCTGTTGGCCTCCGTCTTCTACGTCCTGGAGCAGAACCTTGACAAGTTCTACGTCCTCGATCTCGAACACCTCGACGACTTGTCTAAGCGCGCCCTGGCTCAGCATGGCAACAACACCCGCGAGGTGGTCAAGTACATCACCACCGAGCTCCACGAGAAGCTGCCCGCTCACATCAACCTCAACGAGGAGTGGGTGTTCAACAATGCCGGTGGTGCCATGGGTGCTATGTACATCATCCACGCCAGTAAGACTCTCTTTACCTCTCCCCATCTCTCTCTCTCTCCCTTTCAGCGTGCTAATTCGTTCTCTCTTTTTCTTCTTCTCCAGGTGTGACTGAGTACCTCATTATCTTCGGCACTGCAATTGGCACCGAGGGCCACACTGGCCGCCACACGGCCGACGACTACTTCCACATCCTCTCCGGCACCCAGCTCGCCTACGTCCCCGGCGAGTACGAGCCCGAGGTGTACCCTGCCGGCAGCATCCACCACCTGCGCCGCGGCGACGTCAAGCAGTACAAGATGCCTGAAGGCTGCTTCGCCATGGAGTATGCTCGCGGCTGGATCCCTCCCATGCTGTTCTTCGGCTTCGCGGATGGTCTGTCCAGCACCCTCGACTTCCCTACCCTGTGGCACACCACCCGTATCACCGGCCGTGAGATGATTGCCAACTTGTTGAAGGGCAAGTTGTAAGATTTTTCTCAAATTTTTTTTCTTTATGGGAAAGGAGGAGGATATATAAGGAACCTCTAGCCGGGGGAAAGGGGAGAGGGAAAAAAAAAAGAAGGCACTTTGATGGGAAGGGAATAGAAATCATGAAGCGCGCATATTAGACCAGGACCCGGCATTGCCCGCGAGGAGTTGTGGTTGGGGACTAGTAACTGTTAATATATTTGTACCTTACTTTATATGTATAAAAATTTTTAACATGAGAAAAAGTAGAGTCAGAGGCGGTTACTATGATAATTGTAGATTAGATGAGTTCATACATGAACATCTCTCATGGCGGCATGTTTGCTACTTTATACTTTATGCGGACACCGGATTCTGGGCGTTTGCCTAGCACTTTCATCACAAAGAAACTATTCGCAACCACAGGAATAAAGAAAAATGAGAAGAGAAATGATGGAATTGAAGACCCAAGAAATCAATCAATGTGCTGAAATTGCATAATATTAACTATTTTTCATGTTATGGGGAGGGAAGGCAAGTTGAATGCCTTCCATCTCAACTCCATCTTTGTTTGTCCAACACATACACCACCCAACTCCCTTCGGAATCGTGCCCTGTTCGTCTTCTCCCTCCCATGGAGCCCACCACATTCTCCTCAATAACACTTCATTTTCCCAATTCGGCCGCGTGGCCTAATGGCTAAGGCGTCAGATTTCGGTCATCCCTTAATCCTCTGAAGATTCCAGGTTCGACTCCTGGCGTGGTCGTCAATCACGCACGACAAGTTCATATTATGAGCTTGTCCTCTCTTTTTTTTTTGTGTTTCTTTTTCCATTTTTGTTGTTGGCCCGTATGGATATGCAAAAAGGGGGGCCAGCCTGGACTTCGAAGGACGCAACATACATTTGCCTCATACTATGTACACACAGTTCGTGAATAGTCTCTTTTTTTTGTTCTTAGGATATTACTAGAGGTTTCGGTTATCAATTGGGCGAGAAAATCGATGCTTGATTGAAATCATAGCTTTCATGGGTGTTGCTTTGACGCGCGTTGACCAATTTCAAGAGCCTTGTCTCAAAGAAATGTCATCTTGTGCTTGATACGGCCTTTTTCTATATCATCCAACACAATTGAAATCTTCTTTTTCAATGGTAGATAGTTAACATATCCTATTAGGTCCAGGTAGGACGACTCTCAGTCTCAAGCCTCGGTCACAACCTGTATCTCCTGTTAAAATGCAGGCTCATGCTGTGATTCAATCGAAAATGTCATGGACCTAGTTCGTTACAAACGAGGACAATGTACAATTGAATTGACTAAAGATTTCCAGCAAGGCTGGTATCCTATCCTCAGTGGCCATATCGAGATGACATAAAAAAAAACCATGTATGTCCTCTTCCCCCAGGGATACTGGTATACACATTTCTTGCCATCGTATGCTGCATCTCGGTCTCCTTTTGGCGTAGCTGAGACGAAACCAAGCAACTCAAGGCCCCCAAGAAGACCAGGAGGGGGTCCTTGCTGCCGAGTTACAAATGATCGGGATAAGTAATACGATGGCTCGGCTCATCCCCTATCCCGAACCGTATTTCTTGATTCCCATCCTCTCCTTGATCCTCAGAGGTACTACGTTAAATGTTCAAGTAAAGAACTAAGGACCTTGAGCAACAAGTACAGGCACCTCATCTCTCAGGTGTCAAGTTGCAATGACGGAGCTTACAAGGTGTTCTCGATGACGTCGTATCCTTCAATCCCAAGCCCTCTCTCCCCTCTCCCCCCTTTTTCGCCTCTTATCTCTTATCTGTCTTCACGATTTCTTTTCATAGGTTGTATCCCGCCTTGCAACAAGGTCAAGATGAGAGCTCACATCACATCAAGATCAGTCAATTTGGTGTTCCTTTAAGTCAATTGCTTCCTGATGGCCGTCGCGGCCACCCAGTACGACATGTGCAAAGTGTGTTAAGAGATTGAGCAATGCATTCTTCTGGAGAAGACTATGTGACACATTTCAAAATCAGGATATGGAACCATCCGGGGTTGTACGTGCTTTTTACTCTCTCATCGACCTGTTCGTCCTCATACACTTCTCTAGAACACACAATTCCGTCAAGACCCCCTCATCACACGATGTCAATGAGCGAGGTGGTGGATCTTTGCACCACGGTCTTATCGGCGGGTCTAGGTGCAAATCACATCCCCCTTGTTGGCTTCACTAATGTAAATCGCCCCCTTGCTGTAATGTTTTGGACCTATGGTCTCGTAGCAATACCTGCTTTCGCGTGTTTTTTTTGCCACCGGCATATGTTTCTGTTGGCCCCAGCTCCGGAAATCTTGACAATCGTTCAAGATGATCTGAACATATCCTCCCGAGAGGGGGGCCGTGCTGGGTGTAACCGCAGACGTGAGGAAGAAACACGACAAAGGGCTCAAGAAATCAGGATATTCAAGAGCCGGGTGAAAGGGGAAGAGGAGGGGCTCTGGTTATTATGTGATGATGCCCCGTGGGCTGACCAAGGAAAACACTCAGTCAAATCAGTTACTGTGTGTCAACACCATCATCAAGCTTTGTTATATTTGAAGATACAATTTCATAATACTTGAATCTAAACAAGGATGTAAGTCGAAGTAAGCCTTGGGGGAAATAGTGGCACTTTGTTTTTTTGCTGCGTTGGCGTGTGGCGTTGTCAATAATCACCGTCCATCCAACTGGATATCATGATACGGTCCGCTACCCAAGCTCCGTCCTCGTGCCGACACAGACACTTGCGTCACTCAGTGCAAGTCATGATATCTGTACTATTTTAGACACTTTTTTTCTTCTTCTCCAGAGTCTAGACGGGAGACTCCCTGCTCCCTCTTTTTCTTTCCTTTCACGGGACCTGTTCCCGGTGCGGGGGTCAGAAGGCTAGTTGACGCTTCTCATCTCATGTGTGTTGTTGTTGGCCTTTCGGCCCTGGTTGGCGATAAGAAAAGCGGAATTACCCCAGCTCACCGTGGCACCGTGGCTCTTTTTGTCTTTCTTGAGCAGCAAACCCTCCGCATGGAAAGATTGCTAAATGTAATCCGATAGGATAAAACTTGTCGTCTTCCCCTTGCATCCCTTGCAACTCTTGCAGCCTCAAAGACGCAAGCTCCCAGCTTTCACCCTTTCCTCCCCCTTTGCCCACTTTTGCCCTCCTCTGCCCTCCCATTCCCCCGCATTCTCTTTTGTCGTTTACCTAGGTATTCTGCATGCACAGCATACATATCACCTTTTCTTTGTGTGCGTAATAGGCACTTCAGTTATCGAAGCTCCCCCCATCCCGCGTTGCCCACCGCTGCCCGCGCCCGCCTTGACCCTGTCTTGTCCCTCGACTTAGATAGCCAACCCCCCACGCCCAACCAACCAAACCAAACGGCCTTCCTTTTTGTTGGTTTCTCCCCCCATTCACACTTATTTGCCTTTCCTCTGGTCAAATGATTGACAGTAGACAAGAGCCATTCAAATGAAATAAAGTAGGTAGCTTACCACAAAAAAAAACCCGCTCGCCATGTGCTTCAACCCCACGGGGCCGTGCGGGCGAACCGAGACCCAGCGGGAGAGGAACAGAGGTGAGTGAGAGCGGGGGCACAAGAATGAAAGATGATGGATGATCGAGAAGACGACGGAGGGCGATTGGTATAAGACACACGCGGTGAGACCCCCAAGATCTGCACGTTTTTTTTTATTCTTCTTCTTCACCTGGGAAGCCGGGTCGTAAATTCTTCTCCCACATCGTTCTTCCCCAGACAATTCCTTTTGCCCGTCTCCTTTGCTACCAGCATGGGTTCAATCTCTCGCCCCGTCTCTCCCGCTCGCTTCCTACTGAGCCATCCATCTCTTCCTTGCTGACCAGCGAAAATATCTTGCAAATGGCTTTCTTGCCTACCTCGCCCTGTCTGTCCCCGCCGTCACACAACGCTCCATCTCCTGTGACGCAGCCCACCAGCTCAACAAAGCCGGTTTGACACAGGCGACGAGTGAATAGACTGTGGGGGGAGAAAGAAAGAAGACTGAAAGAGAAGCCACACACACAGAGAGAGGGAGAAAGGGAGTGAGGGAAGCATGGGCCAAACCGGCCCGCAAGTGCCTGCATCCCACACAAATCTCCTGCCACCGAGTTCTCCGAGATTTCTCTTCCCTTCCCCATACTCTCTTATCGCCCATCTTTGTTCAGACCGAGACGTCATCATCGCATCAGATCATCTATCGGACGTGGACAGATAGATAAGCGATATCTTTCCTGATACTGGTCCCCTGATAAGGATATACAATCTGTTGGTTACCGTGGGTATCTTTGCTCGTCATTACGCATCATCGCTTGCCGCCCTTCATCCTCGCCCGAGAAGTCTAGATTGGGTGAGTATACAGAAACTATCAAACATCTTGGTGAGTTTAATAAGAACACATTGTAGTCTTCTAAGCCAAATTGGAAAGACACGGGAGGGAAATCAGTGAGCAAGGGGCAAGAACCGCAAAGGCGGGGGTTTGGTGATTCGTTATATTCAGTTTCTTTTCTTCACACATCTTCTCCTAAGATCCGTCATCAACCAGCCATGAAGAAGGTCTCATTTCCAGACCAAATCACCCAATATTACGCCGTCTCAAAATCATAATGAATAGGCCTGGATCCCCCTTATCCAAATAAACAGCACAACTCCGCTCAACCCAAATGCATATCGCCGTCCGATCCGCCAGCCACCTTTCCGGCCCAGAATGGATTTCCCAGAATCATTTCCTGATCTGTCTTTTCTTCTTTTTGATGTCATCTCCTTTCGTTTAATTCCTGCGCTTTTCCTTTTTGTCCCAACTTTCTTTTTTTCTTTTTGTGTCTCGTCGAGAGGGTTGAAGAACGAGTATGTCATATCCCCTGAGTGAAAGACGAAGCCATTATGCCAGCCACCCTTCTTCGTCCCTTTTACGACCTCTCATGACTAATACGTCGTCGTTGTCGTCGTCGTCACTATCTTCGTCATCGTTGTTGATTCTTAGTTGTTCGACAGACGTGGCAGCCGCGTGTATATCAACTTCCTCGTCGTTATTATATTCATCTTCCAGCATCCACGTCAAGCCATTGGCTTCCTCTTCCAAGGGGAACACCTCTCTCGCATATTCCTCAATTCCTCTGGGACCTTCCCACAGTTCCAAAGCTTCGCTCGGGCAACTGATCTCAAGCTTAGGGTCGCCAAAGTAGGCAGGTTGCTTCCGGAAATCCCTCTCCTTCGGGCTGAAAAGTTTCTCTAGCCCAACAAGTTGTTCTCGATAGCCAACAGGGATTCTGACATTAATCTCGATGGGGCCCCTGACATAGCGTACTGGACGACCGACACCTCGAGAAAAGAGCCTGCAAACTTCTCTCGGGCTCAAGTACTCATACGCGAGGGCAATACGTTCCCCTTTCCATTTGGATGGCCCGTCCTTGAAGATTTGCAACACAGCAGGCCCGACATCATGTTCAGCATCCAACCATGGTAGCTTTGCATCCTCGTGGAACGGCGCCTCCCACACGAACGAACCATCCTTCTGGAGATCCATGCAGAAGAGGGGATACTTGAGGGACGTGAAGTTATTGTTGTAGATGCCAGTGTAGACAAAAGTGGCAGGAAGTCCTAGATGTCGCACATACTGCTCAACTTCATGCTTGGCAGCCCAGAGGGGTAATGAAGGCCACTTAGAGTTATATGCGGCGTGGTCAGGCATCGATGAGTAGACGTAGTGCTGAACCCCCGCGCGCTTGGCAGCATCAGC